AAAGGACACAGAAAAGAGAAACAAGCACATTTTATTGAACTTATATACACATCTCCAAGAGAAATATATCAAAGCAAGCATATATCTAACACAGTTTCACTTGAGGATGTCCTCTCCTGCTCCTCACCTGGAATCAGGTTTTTTGGTCGTCTTTCCATTTGTTTTTGGTTGACTTTGTGTGAAAGGCTGAACGGACTCATTCAGAGCTTTGTCCAGTATGTGACTGAGCTGATCCTGGACCTGCTCCAGGACTTCCAGTTTCACCTTCTGCAGGGGGACACACAAGACAAAAATAACAATAATAAAAAAAAACCATTTGTTTACAGCTTTCTGTACTCACCCCATTCTCTACATCGTAGCAATCCATGTTTTATAAACTTTAAAAAAACGACTTCACATTATATATTACTCGTCACAGCCTTAACATCTGTGTTTCGTCTCAGAAGGACTCAGACTGAGTAGAGTCAGAAGAACAGAGGATCTGTCAGATGTGTTAATGGCAATGAAAAAGATTAAGGCTCACCTGTGCATGTTTCTCCCACTGCCTTAGCTCTTCTTCATGTAAGTTATTATGGCCCTCAACTGCAGAGTGAACATCATAAATTGTATGATTAGTATATAGTACAAAATCCCATCTGCTTTTTAAGAACGCGTTCCCTGAGTTCTGAGCTGTTCTACAGTTAATGCTCTTGTTGCTATCAGCTTTCCAAAACAATAACTGAATGTATTGAAATGGATATGTATTAACACAGAGGGGTTTGCAAAAAAGACTTCAAACACATGGAGGAAAATGAGAACAAAATACAGCCAAGTTACACAAGTCATGCTATTTTATATCAATACATACCATGACTGGAGATCTCCTCAGTTTGATGGGATTTGACGTTCCGGTGGTAAAGTCCATTTGGTGTCTCAGTGGTCGTCATGGTTTAGTGTGATTCAGGTGGACAATCCTGTGAAAAAAACAATGAAGTAGGTTATGTGTTGCACCACTCTCCATTGCCTGATTGACAATGGTCCCATTGTCTGCAATGGTTGCTGTGTTTATTCATACATATATAATGTGTTATTCATATATTTATAGTTTTTTGAATATATTTTGAGTCCTGTATGTAGCAGTTTTCAGTTTGTATTACCGTTGTCTAATTTGTTGTCCTTGTTTGAAGCCTATGTCTTCTTTACTGTACATTAGCAGTAATTTAAAACCAGTCCTATTCCTTGTATTTGCACACATAACTGTCCAATAAACTGGTCAAAGGTGTCATTTAAAAACTGATACGAGTTCTACATTTGATGTCACAGTGGGAAAATCACCTTATTAAGCAGCCTGGTTTGTGTCTGACCTGCGGAGTCTGTTTTTGACACAGATACAGACAGAAAAGCCATAGATGAACTGGTTGACCTTATTTACATCTATCTGAATCCACACATGGCTCAGTTCCTGGTTGCTATCTTGGCTAAAGCCATACTAGGTAACATGGAGAGGAATAACTCTGGGTCATTGGCCCTTAAAGAGAAGTGATGTCATTAAAGTGAGATGACACTTTAAAACCATAGAGGGAAGTCTAAGTAGTTCCCCTTTGTGATAGTCATGATTTAGAGTAAATCTTAAACAATATATTCAGACATATCAGTAGGTCACGCAGGCCCGTTGCTGTCAGGTTATCTCAAACCAACAAAGCATTGTATAAGACCGGTGAGCTTCAGTCCCAGTGAGGAGAGAATCCCAGAAGAAAAAAAGGGCACTACTTCCTGCTCTGAATACAGAAACATATAGATAAGGGGTTTGAACGATGGTAACCTTTTAGCTTTACCATTACAAATGTGTTATCACTAATCATTGTAACCCCAATCTCACTACTGTAAACAAATAATAAAGTTGGCCTCCCTGTCCCCTGTTGAAGTTCACACACTACAGATCAGATACACAGAAGTCTGACAGGGAGATTGGGTTAACTCCACAGAGGGGTGAAAGACCCAGAGTGACCTGGTTTTCCAATCCCTGCTGTTTGATCACTCCTTAGTAGAACATAGCAGATAAGCTTTGTGAAGATATTTATTATACATTGTGCTGCCGCGGACGTCGGCATGGCAGAGAATGGAACGACAATCCCTGTGTTTTTGTGCCGATAATCTCTTGCGCAATGATCCTTTGAATGTTACAGGTAGGTTGACTAGTGAACTTGTGGTCCATTTCCAGCCTGACTGACGTTACTCTCTTTACTCTTTATCAGTAAATAACAGTCTGGATTTATATTTAACTGCTGTGTTGTAATTAGTATAAATGAAATAACTAATCAGTTCTTTTCCAAAGAAATACTATTATTTTTCTAATAACATGTAATGTAGAAAAGTTCTAATTTGACTAGTGGAAACAGGCAAAGTTTGTGTCATCACCCATTAGAAGGTAAAAAAACAAAGCTGTAATCATTATTTTTCATAATTTCATACTTTTTAAAATGATCAATTAATTAAATTATTATTTCCCGACTGAGCAAATGATTTTGAACTGTTGATCAGAACCCTACAAACATATAAGCTAGTTCATGATCTTTGTTCCTAAAAATGAATGAAAGTGGTAAGAATCGGATCCTTAGGAAGGTTTGTTTTGATCTTTCCTGTTTGATCCCTTTAGTACAAACTCAGAAACACTTTTCCAGCAGTCAAGACAGAGAGTTACCTCTAGTCTTACTTTTCATCATTTGAAGTACGATAACTTGTTGAAAATTATTAGGAAGCAGAAACCACAGATTTTAAGAAGTAAAACCAAGATGTGTCATACAGTCTTTCCCTCGGATTCATACTCACAGAGACTCGTAGCCTCAGGCTCACTCGGCAGTCCTCGGGCTGAGAGGGTCTGATTCAATCAATGCTTCCCACTGAGAGAGAGAGAGAGCTGCTGGAGTGCTTTTAAGTGACTCACTACTCTTGATATCTGTGTCCTCTCTCAGTCCTCATCTGATGTTCTGTACTTTGGACCTTTTGGCTCCTGGGCCCTGGGCAGGACAGGCCCTCGACTGTCCAACCTCCCCTTCGCCTCCTCTGCTCGGTGTGTGAGGTCATGCAGAAAAACAGCAAAGTTTGTCATGAACTGGTATTGCAAAATGTATTACTGATTGAAGTTATTGGCCTTTCTTTGTGGCCCATCTGAACAGGTTTGCTTGTGAAGGTTCTCAGACATCCAGGTAAAAAGGATTACAAGAAGGACTCAGCAAAGCAAAGTCAAGAATAAAAAATATTACATTTTGTTGCTTTTGATTACCACATCAAAATATATATTTGTGAAGATTTTCAAAAGTCCCCATTCACTAAAAAATGTGTTGTGCTTGAAGTTCTTTTGCCTGGATGTTTGACCTTCACTGTAATGAGAAAGTAATGAGAAAAGTTTTACAGTGCTCACCTTCAACCCAAATTTAAGACCTGCAGGTAGGAGATGTTTTTCCACTAAATCATGATGAAACTGATGTGGAAAGTTGCCTTCAGAACTCATAAACGTGAGAATAGAAAAAATCCATCTTTTGTATAGCAGTAATACTAAATATCAATAGATTCTGGATCATGAAATGAGGAAGGAAAATGTGTATTTCTAGAAAGTTAAACTTGTGTATTTTTACCTAGTGTCTTATGTACATGCAGAGCATTACTCTGGCATTACTGAAATGGCCATCTGTTTATAACAGCAGTTTATTTGCCTATTACAAATATAGACCAGTCATGCATGATGTAATAAAACTAGAACGATAGCAAAGTTCATTTATTCTGTGGCTGGAAACACAATGAGCACCTCGTTTGGATGTTTTGTTTCATGACACAGTGAGAGGAAGTTTGGTCACAGAACAGGTTGTCCAGATGATTGTTTTTTTTGGGTCCTACTGTTTGTGTCCTAACCTCTGTTTAACTTAGATGGTAATTAGAACAAAGTTACTTTAATGTCAGATAATATTTCATCACAACACGCAGGGTGGACACAAGCAGGAGGCAAAGTCATAAAAGGTAAACAAACCCATGTCTTTGGCAACTGATGTCAGGTATTGACTGAGCATAAAATTAATGTGTTTTTGAAGGTGGGGGTCTGTCTGTCCCTTGGATTTCTCTATGATTTGAATGCAGTCACATTCGGTGGGTGTATGGCTGAGGCCCAAGGGATTGCAAAGATGAATGAGTTCAAATTAAGCCGGATTGTGGCGCAAGAAGAACAAACTTTACCTTTGGGCACATAAAAAGTTTCAAAACAAAGTTATTTTTCTAGATATACCACGGGTCCAGATGAATAGGTAACATGTCTGAGTCTAAATATTAATATTTTCTCTTTATTAATCCTATTTATTTATATCATTTTAGAAATCTTCACCAACAGAGAATTGCTAGATTAACAAATGTTGATACTACATAACTGATGAGAGTTTGGTAATTACTTACTGAATTACTTAAATGTTGATGGCAGGTGTTATGTTGTATTTGTAATATCTCTCTTATTAATATACAATATGATACACTTTACTGTCCCCTTGGGGAAATTTGTCTTGGACTCATATTGTGCTTTTGTAAAAACATTTGGTGGACATGAATGAGAAAGACACATTATGTGCAGAACAAGAGAAAGGTATGTACACTGCTCAGCTCCCAATAAGCACTTTTATTTCAAACAGGGGAATGTTTCGATCCAAAACATCATCCTCAGGCTTGAAGAAGCCTTTTGGAGGATCTTTTTGGATAAAAACTTTGCCGTTTAAAATAAAATTGCTCATTGGGAGCTGAGCGGTGTGCAGACCTTTCTCTTTTTCGGCAGTTACTATATTTTTTATCCTACACCTGTATGCAATTTGCTTAGATATGCACATTATAGGCCATATGTTGTACTGTCTGTATGAAAAATCTGAATCTAAAAAGAATTGTAACTTGATGTATTTTTATTACCACAAATATTGTGATATCCATTGAATGTGCTTTTCAAAGTGCTTAGAGACTAACTAGAAAAGAGTAATAACAAGAGAGTATCATTACAATATGTACACAGGATCATGTTTATTGAAAGGAGTTTTATGAGACAACAGTACTGTTTCTCAGCAGCTACAGAAGAAAGCACTGCATGCACTAAGTCACACGCCATAAACAAACCAACCAATGCACAGAAGTACAAACAAACACTGACATCTCAACCTGTTTTTTTTTTTTAAACCACCCTTCCATTCTTGTCATTGTTTTATTCCTGCATATTTAGGCTACAGTTTCACACATTATTCACCTTGCCAGAATATTTTCAGATTGGTTACAGTTAGACAAACAAAACAATAAGACTGAAAATAAAATGTTATACACTCAATCAGTCCAGACATCTACAGTTCAGTACACCACCTGAGTGCATGTCAGGAGAAAAGTTGTTTTTCTTTGTGGTCTTCATTGACATAAAAAGACCATCCACATTCAACTCACGGTTTCTAGAGGTTGTGTAAACACACTCAACTGCAGTGATAATGTAAAGTTTCTGTAGGTCAGTGACCTTTTTTTATCCCTTTGGAAGAAATCAATTTCCCCAGCAGCGTTAAATACTCTATGTCAAGGCTTCTGAAGAGTGACAAAGAAGAAAAAGAAAAGAGTGATAAAGTACTTCATGTATTTCTGATTAGCCTTAACATGTTAAGAAAATAGTCTGTTAATAATATTTTAGATCACAGCTCTCTTTACAATAAAATATTGTATATGGAGGGTATCATGACGTATTCACAGGGTAACCATTTAGAACGAAACTTTAGAGGGGAGAACAGAGGATGAAGACTTTAAAACTGTTTCATATGTCCTGATGATGTTGTTGTGTCCTCCCAGTTGTTGCACCTCAAAGAAAGGAAAATAATTCAACAGTGCGGATACCTCAGTGAAATTAGTTTTGACGCTTGTTTTGAATGAATGTAGTTCTTCTTATAATTAACATGGTGCACATTATATGTCGTAGTGGAAAACATGTGTTAAACTTCACAGTTAGCTGCGACAAACTAATAACTTCTATTTATTACGATGGGACGCAATTTTAAAGCACAGTAATTAAGTAATAATGCAGTAATGAAATATCTACCTCACAATCAAAAGTAATGTAGCAGAAAAAACAGCTTCTTTGGCCTGTAACACAGGGATATCTTTGACTATTGAGGGGACAGAGCTCTACATATATTATCTCTCAGAGGTAATATAAAAGTATTTTTAAACCAAGTTATATCAGACGTTGTCTGGATCTTTTATTGGCATGGCTCCTGAGCCTGTGATTCCCCTCACCTTTAATTATTTAACATTTACTTCTTCATAGTTCTAGGGAAACTTTGAACCTTCCTCTTTTTTTATTCATTCTGCACCGCAGGAACTATAAACTACTTCAGGTCCTAGAACCCTGTTAAGAGGAACCTTTTTAGCTCCTGCTTCAAAATAGGTAGCATGGCGGTGTGAATGCAGACAGAAAAAAAGTTCCCATGGTGGAAAGTTCTTATTGAACTGCCTAGAAGATTACTCCTCCTCACAAAGTCCCCAGAACTGTTTGGTATGAAAAACACCTAACTTATTTCTAATTTTTTAGACTGCTTTCTGAAACTCGTCCATCATGCCAACACAGTTAATACCCTGTAAATATTTCATAGATATCCTCATACAAAAATATTGGCACTGTAATTGAAGTCAAAGAATAAGAGTCTTCATTAAGAAGATGCAGCTACTATTTTATCGCAAAATACACACACAAACACACACATACACACACAAACACAAAGGTCCTTATACTGTCACCCTTGACTCTCTCCCTGACTGGCTGATCAGGAGGTAAACAGAGAGCGTCTGAGGGCAGCGTGTAAGAGACCGTCAGCATATGTGTAAAGCGTCAACTACCTTATCGCCGTAAACTGCACAAGTAATACAGAACATGTGACATATCTATATTTTGGTATCAAAGGTCAAATACCTCATTGGCTGATGAGGTGCTTTATCTGAATGTGTGTGTGTGTGTGTGTGTGTCAGAGGGATAAGACATGACTATATCAGCTCTTGATAACCTACAGTAACCCTTGAGGTTGTATGGACTACTGAAGAGCATCATCCGGAAATGAGTCACTACAGTCAAGGCTTTGGTTTCAGTCTGAGGAGGTTCATAAAGAACCATCATCCCTTGAAAAAATCCATATTTGAACACACATTTTCATTCAGTGACAAATCTGAAATCCAAAGCATTCTGCAGTGTAAGAAACAAGGTCAACAGGAAATAGTAACACATCAGAAAAAACCCAGTATGCTTCACATTCATCAACTCCTATAAATTAAGTATAAATAGCAAATAAATAGCATTTGAAATAAAGCAAATGATCATTAATAGATATTTTTTTAAATATAATTAGCAGTATAAAAATAGTTGCTACACAAATATTTTTTCCCCTCTCTGCCATGCTTTTGGTTGTCATGACAATGACTAAATATTACACATCTGATCCCTAACAGGCAAGTCTTACAGGAATAATTGACAGCTTATAAGTCTCTTTAATACAGCACAGTCTTTTAAAACAATCAGGAATCTTCTTTTAACACTTGATGAAGCGGCTTATCAGACGAGTTCAAACCAGTGCAGTGTAGCTAAAGTCAGACGTACTGTGGATGACTGATGTTTACCACTTTTTTAAGTTTTCAAGGTTTTATGAAAAGTGTGATTGATGAACTTCTGAAGGAGGTCACTAATTTGGTTTACTTCTATAGATGTTATAAGATAATAACGACTTTGTTATATTAAATTTAACTAGCTGAAAAACATTATTTGAGAGTAACAAAATACAAAATGTGTGTCTTTAAGAGTTGTAAGGTCTCTGATATTGAATGACACTTGTATGTATGAAGCAAACTTGTCTTTGCTCCATTTTAAATCATAGAAATTGTCTACATTAAGGCGTGGCCCATTTTCAACTACTGCAGGTATTGACAGGTGACACTGGTTCTAAAAAATACCAGTTAGCCTCATATATATAGAGGGAGTGTACCTCAAAAACAAGCAATACTGCTTTTAATTAGGATTGAAACTGCCCAATGTTTAAACTTCCTTTAAGATGACAAGTCTGTTGAAATTCTTGATTTGCCATTAAAAGACAAAAACCAACAATGAATGTAAAGCTTGGTGTACTACTAGTGTATTCCTGTGTGCCAACCGTCTCCATTGTTCAAATTAAAACACATCAGTGAACCACGCTGCTGCACAGGAGGACATACTTTCAATATCACAAAGAAGCTAAATCATTTTAAGTGCGTCACAAATACGCCTTCCTCTGTTACTGTAAAAATCGAATATGTAATAATCCACAGCTGAAGTCCCAAAGAGATGATTTGACATTAAAAGCTGGTTTTCAATTTTTTTTTTTTAGTTGTCTAAGTCTAGAGCACACAGCTGAAACTGAAACAACAAATCAATGGCTGCTTTGTGGATAATACGGTTTCAGTTTGCTCGAGCCAGAGACACAAAAACATGCATTGTTGGTTTCTGTCTTTTCATGAGATTTGTTGACCATAACAAAAAACAAAAAATGTATTAGACTCCCCGTTTATATTGATGAACTGTGCTTATCTCCTTCTGGTGTTTTAATGAAAACATTGGGTCACAATGTTGTCTCAATAGCTCTCTTTTTCTTTTTCCTGTGTTTTTCAAGAGAAATTGAACACCAACATCAAAAATCAACATGCAGAGTCAAAAGTATGAATACTAGTAAGATGAGCTCACGGGTTCACACTGTTTTCAGAGATCTATAATCATCTTGTAGAATAATAATGATGATAGTAGCTCTCAGCTCACTGATGAATGTACTTCATGTGTATGGTCACACCCTGCCGAGACAAACAGCACTTCCTAGTGGTTCTCTAAAGCACTGCAGCTTCTTCTCCACCTTTCTCTGAGTAGTCTCGTTTTTTTTCCAAGTCGCAGGCTGGGATGGGCAGCACTGTGGGTGTAAGCTGCCAGGTCGGGTATTTGAGATGCAGAGTTTGCCACATGTCCCACTGATACCCACAAAGAGCCCATGTCATTGTACAGGAAGGAGAAGGGATTGAAGAGGAGGTGCAAGCAAGGGGAGGAGAGGGAACACAGGAGAGGCAGAGAGGGGCTGCTTACAGCAGGTGAGGATGGGTGAGGGAGGGGAGGCTAAGAGGACAGTGATCAGCTGCATGCAAATAAACAGAGGAGGCCTCAGAGAGAATGTCTGCCTGAAAAAAAGAGAGAGACACATACACTCAGAGAGAAACAGAATGAATGATGGCAGAAAAGAAGAGACAGCAGCAAGTGAGTCATGCCAAGATTGCCAGAAGGAACACGTCTCCAATCCTTTTACTTCTGGTTGTCTTCACTGAGCGTTAGTTGTGTTTGGGAACTAAGAAGAGCTCTCTCAGACCAAATTCAGACTTCATGGGAAGGATGAATTCACCAGCACTGTGCAAAACTTGTGTTTACTTTACAGACGGCTTTATGCAGAAGTTCAGGACTTCAAACGTTACAATAACTTCGATCTTTCTTTAATTAAGCAGTCCCCAGTCTGCAGGATGCTTTTTTCTTTCTTTTTTTTTTTTTTTTACAGAATTTAAGAACAGTACACGTGACTAGTTTTACCAAAAGTTGAAAGTATCACATTTCAACAATAAACATAGATGTCAAAACTGTTACCCAACTGTTTGTATGGAACAAGTAGGTTAGAATCAAACCTTTCACTATCACTATGTGCGAGCAGTGTGTTTTTTAAACAACAATTTGCTTTAAAAAATTATGTAATAGATATACAGTATGATGTGTACAGCATGTGGTATTGAAGATCACTGGTAACAAACCTAATATTTCTTTTTACCTATACAAGTTTAACATGCAAAATGCACCACTATTCAACCCCCCAAAAGCCTTAAGGTCGTCATAACAATCATCCATAAATCAAAAAAAATATCCAATAGCTAATGGGGAATAGCTACTGATGTGGTTTTGTTTAAACCCCATCCCCCCCTTCCAATCTTTGTTTTTAATCTACATTGTGCTTAAAAATTTCACAACAGAAAATGCCACTTCTACAGATGTAAAACTATCACACTGGTTTGCTTGATTCATGGTTGTATGTCAACAATAGAGATTTGTAGGTTTATTCTGTTCTGATGTACTTAATGTACTCTCGGTTCTTACCTGCTCAGGACTATTAGCTGGTTGTCGCCTCAGGCTGCAGGCTGTAGAGTCTGGCTGGATCCTGGTTGTCACAGATGTCAGGTCTGGACACAGAATTCACATTGAGACACATGCTACCAGACATGTTAGAAACACGGAGCGGCCACAGCAACGTCACCAGATTCATCAACAGCCGCATCCAGAGAAGGAGCAGGAGGAGCAGCAGTAGCAGTGACAGCAACAAGGGGGCAGCGATGCAGCAGAGAGACACAGCAGTGAGGGAAGCGAATCAGTGAGGTTATAGTAATTGGTCATAAGGTGGAGGAGGATCAGTGCATGCAAGGTAATCGAGGGCAGTGACATCCTTTAAAATCTTCTTTCACATTTACTGATTCCCATAAAACATACAAGAGGTATAAAGATTATTACTTTTAGCATTATTCATTTTGATATTGACAGCTGGTTACCTCAGATTAAACGTAAAAATTCAGCTGAAGCCAAGCCGCCGTTAGCCAATCACAGCAGACCAAAATAAACCCTAACATTGATCAGTTTCCACAAAGCCCTGAAAAAACTACATTTAGAGGTTTCTGCTTGATACAGACCAAAAAACAAAAGCCTGCAGTAAGAGAACAAAAATAGAAGCAGGTGTTTTTTGCAGTGAAAACATAGGTGTGCTCCCATCTTACCTGTTGTCATTGATATCTGTGGTGTTTCCTGTGGACAAAAAAAAGGTGCATGAGGATGCAGGCAGGTGCACAGTGAGTGTGTTGGTGGTGTGTTAATAAAGGGAAGAGGTGTTTTGTTTCCACAGATACAAATGTGTTTAACTGAAACTGCCCCTGAAAAGCCATTGTAGACAAATGAATCTGTAAGCAGCAGCTGGATAATGTGTTACCTCTCAGACAAGAAGATATTTTATATAAATGACTGAATAAGGTGTTTGGGGGTGTAAAACGACTTAGTTATGCAGTCTACTGATGTGCAAGGAAAAGACACAGCAAGGTCGAAAAATAATACGAGTTTCAGGTAAAAGAAGCACTATTGGCAATTACTTGGAGTATTTGTGCCCTTAATAATCATCCAACAATGCTGCCTCTTCTTGAAGTGTTAAAGAAGGAATGTGCGACTTTTTGATCCAGTAGATGTCGACCTTGAGCACCAACATGAACCCAAAGCAAACTGCCCTTAGGCGACAACTCCGCTATTCTGAAGCGTCCGCTCTCCTCCATCGGCACACTCCAAACCCTCTTCACTAGCGTTCACAATTAGGATTTATTGATTAGAACGCACCATAATGAAGCTCCATTAAGCACAAGCAGCGGCCAAATTTGTTCTTGGCTCGAGCTGCAATTGCCTGTGGTCTGTATTGTTGTGTTAGCAGGCTAATGTTAGCATACTTTGGCTAGTTCACATTGCACATAAATTGACACAGTATGACCGTGAGCTGACCACACTAACGTGACATCCAAATAAGCAGTGAGTATGTTATTCTTCTTTTCTCTATTCCTTGACTAAAACAGCTTTTCTATGCAAATCCGTCCTGTCCACGTAAACATGATGTCAACACGACTCCGACAATAGTACAGCTGGCGGGACTCACGCTTCTCACTTATTGTCAACAGTCATGACTCAGAGAGACATTTACATTATTTTTATCTGTTGCTAATTAAACTTATGTAAATACAGACTCACCAATTAGGGTACATTTATATTCCAGTTGTTTTAAATGTTAATCCTTTATCAGAAGGCGTCCTACTCCTCCCATCTACTTTACTTTCCCTGAACTCTACCATGACAGTCATCTGCAAAATATTGACTTATCTTATAACATGACACTCGCACATATCTAGAAGTTCTCCCTGTTCTCTCTCTCAAGAGCTAGTTAAGTCTATATACGTTTATTCATTGTCATTCACGGGAGCCAGTCCCTGAATTAGTGTGCACTTTTCCTCAGAATGATGAGTTCAATATTATCAAGCGCTCTTATCCTTGACTGGATTATGACACTGTTTAATCTCATAGGAAGACATAAATATCTCATCCTTACTTGAACTCTCAAGGCTACACCTCAAAAGAATGAAAAAAAATGGGGGTACAGGTTTTGAAGAGCGGTTCGACTTTGAGTATAACACTTCCCCATAAGCTCTGATTGAAATTCATGACACTGAGTCGAATTATGTCCCAGGGCAAAAAATATGTACCAGAAGAAATTTCCTTCCAAATATGGCTTCAGGATACATCACGGTGTCCAAGCAATTCATTCCAAAGTGCCATATGTCTGTTGTGGGGATGAATGAATGATTGAATACAGACTGAATATGAAATCTAAAATAATAAAAACAGTAGCAAACTGTTAATTTTAATCCTCAACAGACCTTCAATATTTGCAAATCTCCCAAGATGAGTCATGTGGAAAGCTGCCAGTACTGAGCAGGACTATTTTCCAGGCAAAAAGAGACAAATATGAGAATAATTCACTGAATGTTTTTGTCTGCGGGGTAACAGGGTTAGAAACCCTCTGCAACAGCATTATAGGGAGCAGAAACCATCCTGATTGAATTCTTCACAGGTCCGCTGACTGGACAACATCAATTATATGTGTTATTTAATAAAAGGCAGGTTCTGTCACATTAGATTGATATATTTCCTCTAACCCTGCTTCTGACGTTTATTGATATTTGTGGAGAATTGAAGAGGTGTGGTGCTGTAACAGAGCTCTACAGCTGTCATCACCTGGTCAGGGGCTGAGGTGGGCACTCAGCCTGTCTGTTCGGCTATCTGTCTGGCTGACTAATGAGCCTGCAAGCCTAATCTATCTCCTTTGTGTGTAAGTGCGCTTATGTGTGTATGTGTGTGTTTGCGCACCTCAGTGTGTCTAGGAGCACAAACTTGAAGATGCACAAGCCTCAAATAGCAGCAGCTACGGAAAATTAAGGAAATGAATGGATAACTTTACAACCATTACAGGCTGTATCTCTTAAATTTGGACTTTGTCTAAAGACTATAGACCTTTACTTTAACACCTTCCTCACACACCAATGGCTCAGAATTATAGTCCAGGCTGGAAACTAAAAGCCCATTAAGAGAAGATAAAAGCGAGAAGAAGAAAAAACAACAAAGGGACACAGCAGGTGGAATTGCTATAGCAGCAGGGAAAAGTGCTTTTAACTGCCACCTCTCTGTAAGAGTACATAAAACTTTCTAACATAATGGCTGGTATCATAGCGTAATGGAAAGCACTAAAAATAAAGTCATGATATCAGATGTATTTTAACCCTGCTGGTCTTATTCGTAAAATGTTCTCATTATTTTTGCAGGCTTCATCTGCATAGAGCTCACCATTTTCTGAATCGAGCATCTCTGCAGTGTTCTTGACTGTTTGGGTCGTGGGTTCATCTGAAAGCCTACAGACAGGAGAGAGAAACGTTAAAAAGGTTTTTCTAAATCTTAAAATGAATCCTTACACCAATAGTCTATGAGTTCACTTAAATCAAATACTTACTATAAATTGATAATAAAAGTGTACCTAAGTGTTGCAGTGAAGGCTGGTTAGTAAGTATATTAGTAAGAGGACCTTGAGTTATGACAAAGAGACATATCACAGGTTTTAAGATAAGACAGATTAGGGCTTCTTGAGTTAAAATTATTTTCCAAACTGAAATATTTAAACCAAATTCAATTCAATTTGAGTGTAAGCAAAGGAAAATTAGATTAATGATCTTGAGTTAACATAACTTTTTTTTTGCAGGAATAAGATGTAGTAAAAAACATGTGTTGAGCTCTGGTTAAAAGCAACATAAAACTAGAGAAACGTGGCCTTATCTTCTGCAGCATATGTCTCAGTGATGACTGCTTGGTTTTACTTACATGTTGTTCTGAGAGACGTTGTCAGTCGAATCGTTGTTTTTGGCGTCGAGGTGTTTGGAGGGGCTGTTCTGGTTGGAGTTTGTCTCAGGTAACCTCGGCTCACTCTCTGGTGTTTCAGGAGCAGCAGCAGGAGCAGCAGCAGGAGAAGCTGCTTCTTTGTTGTTGCTGTTGTGGAAATCAGCTCGGAGGAAGGCAACGGGGTTATCGCTGTAGCCTCGAACGAAGAAGGGGTTCGTTGGAGAGCATGGTGTATAGTGGCCGGGACGCACAGGCTTGGCTGTCAGTGATAAAACAGAATTGATATGCATTGAATTTTCCATTCATCCAGAAAATGCAAAACATTACTTTTTTTCTCCTAAAGGGATGGTTCCTGTAGGACAAAATAATGCATTTTAATGTGGCTGGAATACTTAGAAGATATTAAGAGTCTGACTGGAATGAAATTGCATTGTTTTGTCTTCTACAGTGGCCGCTGGTTTAGCTCAGTTGGTAGAATATGGCAACATTCTTGGTCACATTGGTCTCAGGGTTGACTCTCGATCCTGACTCTGTTTGGTGCATGTTCTCCCCAACTCTCTCTCCCCACATTTCCAGTCCTTCTACAACTATCCTACCCAAATAAAGGCGGAATCCTTAAAAAAATCTTTTTCAGCATATGTACCTGCTCAGTAAACCACATGCTCGTGTTCTTCTTCAGTAATAAACAGAAACATAAAAGGGAAACGCGTACATCTTCTGAAGCAGATTCTCATTTACTTTTCATAGCAGATGAAAAAAGACCCTACTTCTCTCTTGATTTATTACCTCAGTGAGCGTTTTCTCTACTTTTCCTTTCCAGTTTCCTGGTTCATGATGAAAAATAAGGTCTAATTAAGTTTTAAATAGTATATATTGCACATATTGTTGAGAATCGAATCAATCATGATCGAGGCAAGAGGACGCATATCCACCAAATGTGGTTACTCTTGACTCCAAAAAAGGAAAGAAAAATGTCAGCCAAAATGCCAAAGAACAGCATGTGAAACAATAACACAAAAACCATAATCTTTGAGCAACAGACGCCTCTAACTCCACGAATTAAGTCTTCAACTTCTACACCTCACAAACATGGATACACATTTTCCTGATCTTTGACTTCTCTTAGTTTATAGGCTGGATGTCTAATATAACAATACAACAAATTAATAAATGAAATGGCATCACATATCAGCTGGTGCTGGATGCTGGTGTGGTCATAACTCTACAACAACATAAAAAACAGAATCAGTCCATGACACGGTAGCTGTGACAGTGCACTGTTTCTTTGTCTTTCTTTCACTGCGGTATATACAGCATGACAAACGCCTGCCAGCAGCTGATGACCTTATGTGATTTCAGTTGGTATTGAATATCCACCAAAGCTATTCTCAGATGCTGTGGTGTCACCCCAAACACTCCTTAATCAATAGCTCATTTCTGTCACAGCAGCATACGTGTCTCATTTCTTTCACCCAGAATTAAAATTCATCAGTGCAATTATCTTCAATTGAACACAGTGATGAAGTGAGTCTTTGTGATTATAATGGATTAACACTGCCTTTCTAATAAACTGCCTTTCTCTCAGGAGAACAGGCTTGTTGTGTTTTAGAACAATTCAAGAATAAATGTTGCAATAGCAGTTTCATAGTATGATGACAGATATTGTCACAACATATGGCAACTAGCCAGTGTTTCCCCTACCATTATTTTAGGGGAGCGGCCCGCCCTCCCTACGCCCCCCTTCCGCCCCCCCATGAAGGTCAAGTAAAAAAAAAAAAATATATATATATATATATATATATATATATATATATATGCCTTTATTGTAGAGATAGGATAGTGGATAGAGTCGGAAATCAGGGAAAGAAGTAATTTAAGGATACCTTTCCGATAGAAAAGGACAGCTGTCATTAAAAGTAACGCATGAAACCTAGGGGAAACACTGCTAGCACATGTTGGATTTAGCTTGTTTCTTAAACTCTTTCTATGTTTTTCTCAGTGGTGAAATTGTGTCTCTGGTGCTTCTAGTTTCTGAGTTAGTAACACGACTGGCGTCAAAAAGCCTGCCTCCCAGCTCGTTCATGCATGAGGAGGAGGTGAATGAGTGTGTGGTGTTCTAGTAGGAGGGAGGAAAATACATGACATATGATGGAGCATTGGGGAAGCAATCCAACCAAGGATGTTGCCTGTGAGGAAATCACACAGTGAAGACATGAAACGGATGGTTGCACCATGCCAAATGATTTTTCTCATGGTGCACTGTAAGGGCAAACATTCGAATAAGAAGCAGAAAGAATGGTCTGACCCAGTGGACAGGAGTGTTTACGTGCGTAACATCAGCAGCTAAGTCGTGACAGTAGTGTCATTTATTTTTAGTTTTTTTGACATTAATCTCAAATGTTCTGAACTTCTTTAGAGGTTCTTATTAATTTCCTTTTACATTCTTTAGAAGATAGAGATTCAAACTTATAAAACATGTGAATACATATGGATGAATTCTGCAAAGAAAATAACATAAAAAAAAAAAAAAAATCAGTGCATTTCTTTTTCTTTATTCAGGGAATGAAAAGGGGAAATCATGATGCATTGGTTGATTCCATTTCATAATTGTGACAATTGTCAGCTGGTGCATTGTATGTAACTACAGTGAAACAATCTAGAAAAGTTTTCGTATGGGGGCACTGGTTGGCCTTGCGGTTAGGTCACGTGCCCAACGTACCGAGGCTGCAGTGCATAAAAGCTGGTGGCTTTCGTTCGATTCTGACCCTCGGCTCCCTTACCGCATGCCATTCCCAAATCTCTGCTCCAAGCTTCCTACTCTATCAGCTGTCCTTTGAAAAAATAATATCTGTCCAGCTGAGTAATGATCCCGCAAGCCTAATCTATCTCCTGTGTGTGTGTGTGTGTGTGTGTGTGTGTGTGTGTGTGTGTGTGTGTGTGTGTGTGTGTGTGTGTTCGAGCGTGTCTAAGTGTGTCTAGGAGCAGACACACACAATCTTGGACATGCCCAAGCCTCAAAAGCCAATGAAATAAAAACGTAAAAACATTTAAAAGAAGTTAAAGATGCATTGGGGTGATTGCTCACGACTGCCTGCTTTTTAAAAACCATTTCATCTGATCACATAGCTTTTACTGAAGTGCAGCCATGTAATGCAGTGTCTAGATCAACGCTGATGGCTGTTTGAATATCTTTTAACATCTGATCGTGTGAGCGAGGTGCATTGGTTACCGATCAGTGCTGCATGGGGCCGGCGGAAGGGATTGCGAACCCTCATCACATCTTTGATTCGCTCCACTTCCTGCTGGTAGCGGTGGCGGTCGTTCATGGCTCCTTCCTTGGCTTCCTTCAGCGCACCTTCAAGCGCCTTGACTCGTTCAGCAGTAGACCGAAGACGTTTCTCCAGTTTTGGAAGTTCACAGCGAAGATCTGCATTGTCACGTACCAGCTGACAAAAAACACAAACGGACACATTCAGTACGCCCAGACAATGACTGAACATAACTAGAAAAATGTTATATACTCAGTCATGTGAAAAGATACAAATAACATGCAAATATTAAAGAACTACTGTCTGAATCTGTAAATACTTTTAGTTGAAAGATGCATTTTTCTGCTAGAGATAACCATTGCTGAAAGCTGTTTTGGAATAATAACATGTGCCAGTTTTGAGATAAAACAACAATGGAAATGGATGTGTTTTCTTTCTTTTTTTTTCATCTTTTGTTCGACCGTTTCCACTGGCAATGCATCTCCGTTTTTTGTGTGATGAATTTCCCCTTTTGTGGTATGAAGTCTTAACAATGGAAATGATAAATTGACCACAAAATGCAAAAAAGCTTTTTTGTGAAGCTGAGTGTGACGTGATGGGGAGTTGTCTGATGCCTCCTATGCTTAACTACCTCTAAAAAATAGGGAAGCTCACCTACAAGGCATGATAGACATATTACTGTAAGCATCAACAGACCAGTTAGCTAGGCTACTCCTCATTAGCTTTACCGTCGAGTGCAAGTAATGCCCTTTATCCACTTACTGTTCCCTTCACTGAAATCACTATGGTGTAAAGAAATAAAAGTCTTCAAGCAGCTGGCACTGCTTTTACCAGAACCTTGGAAGAGTTTTGACTTGTATTAATGAATTAACAGTAAAAGAGTTGCATATGAGACCACACTGGAGTGCATACCCGCTTGTGAGGAAAAGACTGGATGTTGACTAACACGTTGGTCTCAAGACAGACTCAAGACAAGACTGAACTCAATAGATAAAGTAACTACTCCTTTAATGCATGTTTAACTCACATTTTGAGAAGAAACCATAGCTAGACTCCATGGTAGTTGGATTTTTGCAAGGCAGTAAACATAGACCAAGTGTACAATTTGTGTTGATGACTATTACTTTGAAATTGTTGTGATAGAAAGACACCTTATGTCGTTCTTGTTTGTTTTTTATTTATTTTTATTTTACTTAATTTTTACTTTCTTTATTTATACTGTAAAAAAAAAAAGGTGAAAAGATGGCTCTCTCCAGAAGTATTCTAACCAATGATGACTGTACAAACATCTGTTTTTTATCATGTGAGATTCCAAATTCAATTACAACATAAATGAATAACGTAAAACTGTTGTGAAAACCAATTTAGTTGCATATAGGGGTATAACCCGACATAGTCACTAGTTGGCTTGTTCGTTAACATAATTTACCAAGAAGCAAAATAGATGAGGAGCTTTATTGATTTGAAAATGCTGCTCACAGCATGTTCCTTATACGTGGGAAAGGTACACATTAAAATCAAATGACTGAGGTCCTTGAACATGGGGAGTTTGCTGCTATACGTGATCATGCAAACTAATCCGCACCCTGCAGAGATACTGAGTATATAAGACCTAAGGGTTTAGCAAACAGGTAAAGCTATCCAACAGGAAGCGCAGACCTGGGATAAAGGAGCCCTGCAGCCTGGCAGGGCTCCTTTCTTTTTTGATGGTGAGTCATTTTAAAAGAAAAACAAAATAATGCAAGCCAGACTGGTGTTGTAAGTGAACTCGTGACAGTCCTGTGTATGTGCAAAAAGATGGACACACAAGCAAGCACACATTACTACATCTTTACAGGGGGCAGGGAAACTCATACATAACCCCAGTGCAGTGTCCACTGGCCCTCTTTGGGAGTCTTATCACTTTCCACTGTGGAGTTTTGCTGATTTATGACCATGACTTTCATCTTCCTTTCCCACAGTATCAGCAGGTGGTGGATGGGATGGAGACTCCCAGCAGCCACTTTAGGATTGGTTTTCTGCCTGACAGACTGCTGCAGTGCAGCTCTCACCAATCTGTATATGAGTATATGTGCCAGTCTGCAGAATGTTTGGCACATCAACACTTGGTGCACGACTGTAGTCCATTTAGGGATATTAAAGAAAGATGTGAAAGTGTGTCTAAGTTTGTTTTTATATCTTCTCCTTTGCTTTAAAAGGCTTGGGTGTCAGCTAGTGAGAGGAAAACACACAGTGTGTTTGTGTGCAGCTGAATGATGAATCCACTCTTGTTTATCAAATCTGACTAACTGTTTCATGGTGTCTTTCCCTAAAGGCAGCGTAGTTTAACATCTCCTGCAGCTCTGTTTTCAAGGAGACTTTCATGTGAAGTTGCTTTAGTGAGATGATTGATGGTGCCAGCGTTAGTTTTGCCCATAGGAGAGCGATGACAAACGGCACACACTGCTCTGTATTTTAATTTGGCTGACTCTTTTTTGCCCTCCTTTATTATTCTGTTCAGCAGAGATGTTCTACCCTACAGCTGCACCAAAGCACCAGGTTTTCAGGACCATTGGAACTGGGCAATCTGTCCTCCTTTATGATGCATTCTTAAATATTTACTGCCTATTGTTACCTGCTTGTGAACTTTTGTAAGCTGGTCCAGGTTGTTTTCAAGAAAGGAAATCTTCTGTTTCTGGGTGATGTATCCCCCACTGTCATCAGGCTCCATCTGTGCACTCTGTCAACAGGAACAGCACACATTAGTAAAAGTGTAACTTCAAAACACTGCTGTCAGAAACCATGTAGCTAAGAAAAAAAAGCATGTGCAAGCTACCTTTGTACAGCCACATGTTCTTTAGCCATAATGGTTACATGTTGGGAACTAAAAGTTTTATTTGAGGTTGTGTCTAGCTTACTTTTCTAACTCGAGTCGTGAGGTCTTGAACAAAAAGCTTGCGTAGGTTGTGCAGGGTGTGAAGCTCACGAGCCTTCAGCATACAGGGAAAGACAGAGATGAAAAAGTCAGAGCAGTTACAGATTATTTAGTAGATCAGTGGCCTCTGAGGGAGCACAGTGAGTCGTGACAGCAAATAATGACTTACAACAGTCTCCTCCAGCCCTTTGAGATCCTGCTTTGACTGCTCATGTCGCTCATGAAGAAATCTATAATAAGACAAAGGAAAGTGAGATGGATGGATAGTATATTCTTAATGAGATTCTTTCTACTCCAAATGAGAGCTGGAATAATTAATGAATAAAGAACAAACGCAGCATGGGCCGGCTGCCCCACTCGTGGGCTGTTACCCATCTGCCATCTGATGCAATATGCTGCAAAGGTCAGCGTAAAAAGAGGCCTATTAGCAGCCAGCTGCTACCTTATCCTAAAACTCATAACGGACATGCAAAGAGGGTTACACAGAAGGAAAGAGACCAAGAGAGACCAACTGTAATTCTCCACATAGGGGAACACAAACTGTAAATAGTCCACAGTCAGAGCTGCAGAGCAAATGGAAAATAAATAGACACAAGGATGACAAGTGGCAGAGAGAAATGGAAGACGTGAATCAAAAGAGGCAGCTCGCCCCCAGGCCTCCATATGGTGAAGTGTTTTGAAAGGCGGCCAGGACAGTAAAGCAGAGACTCACGTCAGTTCCTCCAGCTGCCGGCTCTTGTGATGCTCTCGGATCCTCAGACATTCAAAGTCACAGTGCAATTGCTCCAACTCCAGCTGCTGTTTCTGGTTGCAGCTGAAAAGGTGAACAGAGGCTCCATCAGGGATTCAATGGGTGTGTAGGTTTAAAGCATTTTCAAAGAAATATATACTTTGTTTCTCCCTTCTCAAGGTAATTAAAGGTTTTCATATGTATGTGACACTAAAATGTGAAAAATCTGTTTTACAATGGATCACAATATTGAAGATATTTTAAACTCTTCTGACCTTGGAATCTTTATATCGTTTTACTAACTTGCCTATTTCAGAGTTTTATAACTAAGCCTCCAGAAATTTCTAAGAAATATTACAGGACAAATGGGGGGAAGATTAATCCAAACTGGGAGATAAATGCTATACGAAAGGACAACTGCTTGCAATGGGATCTGTTTCTTTTTGGCCTCAGAGAAGCATGAGAACAGACTCGCTGTCACAAGAGAGAATAAATTGTCTTTTTTGAGTCTGAGGAGTAAAGATGCAGCTCTGCAGCGTGCACAGACATTAAAATAATTAGGAGGCTCATGTTTCTGCACGCAGGGCTAGAATTTATGTTTCCTCCGAAGTCACATAAGAACTGCATTGAACACAGAGGTACTTAAACGGCCCATTAGGTCAAAACTGCAGAGAACACTGAAGAGTCCCATTAGGGTGTGTTTTAAATAAAGGGGAAAAAGCAAATAAGTGCACACCTGCACATCCACCTGAGTCTGAGTATTTTACATTTCAGCCAATTTGCTATCTTTTCCTGATTTTTGAATCTGGGAAGAACATGTTTTATTCATACCTACTTTTTAGACTCTGTTTTAAGGATTTAAAAGGCCACTCTGCTTCGATTTAAGATGCTTTCTACCTCACTGACATCCATCCATCCATCCATTTTCAAGCCGCTTACCCAAATCAAGCTATGCCAGCAGGACAGGCAGAACATCCCCACACATCTTTGTCATTCAGACGCCTCTGCAGCTGCTCTCTGGGTGTTACCAGACCCTCCCTGACAGGCTTAGAATTGTACTTTCTTCCCTCAAGTGGGTCTGCCCTGCGCTATCCTCCCAAATGGTCACGCCTGGTACAGAACATCCTGAAAACCAGGGACCTCAGGGGGCCTATTTCTGAAGGAACCAGCCCAGTAGCTCCTCACATCGTGGATCAGCAGTGGCTTGACTCTTAAGTCCCCTCCACGCTGCAGTTTCCTCAGCATGTCAACCACCCACACATATTGATTTCAGCCCCTGTTGAAGCCAGAGCGGGGCTTAGATTTTTTTAAGAACTCAACTACTGTATCGGCGTATCCCTTATTTTTGGCATTTCCACGCTGCTTATGGGGACAGAATTGAATTTAAAATGTGTGCCCGCAGACAAAGCGGGTAAGCTGTCTGAGCATGTATGGCCTGAATAAATAAGCAGAGTCTCATCTCTAAGAGGGAAGTATAAATGCCTTTTCTATGACATTGTGTGATATTTGTATACTTAAACACTCTTTTGTTTCATTTCATACTCTTGCAAATTTTTGGTGGCTCAAGAAAGCCTGGCCTAAGTCTACAAGAGAAGGTGAAGAATAACAATGAAGCACTGACTCGGTTAAGTCATCAATGATCTTCTGCTTCTCATTGATCTCGTCTCGCAGGCGGCTCAGCTGTTTGCTGTGCGCCTCACGGTGCGACTCCATCTGCTGCTCCAGAGCCCTCTGAGGTACCATCAATGAGGGGGGGTGAGAGACATACATATATTATGAGAGAGAGAGCAGAGAAAGGGTACCAAAAAGGTGGGCTCAAAAGGAAAACAAAATGGCTAAAGGAAGACTGACACACACCGATGCACATTTTGACATGCGCTGCCTGATGGGCATTGAATATAAACACACGCATGAGCACACACACACATCAACACAGCAGACTGTGACTGACTACAATGTGAGAGATCACTAACAAATCATGCACCAACCTGTAAAACAATATTGAAGAACATTTGTAGAAAGACAGGTAGATAATCATAAAAACTCCCTGCTCAACAAGGATGTTTTTTATTTGAAAACTTAATAAGTTGCCTGTTTATTATAAGGCTGAATCGCCAGCTGGCCAAAGTGGGCCACAGATGTCCCGGGACCTGAGAAACCAAAGGTTTATTTTGTGTCAGAAGCCCTTGAACCATGAAAATATGTATTTCTTTCTAAAGTAAAATATGAACTGAATACTTCAATACTGCACACTTCTATCAGTAAAGAGGCCATGTATTGAATCCATATGAAGACCCAGAATGATCATATTATTATTTGGTTATATTCTGTTCAAAGTACAAACATTTCTACAAATGATGTTTTTGTTTTATGAAATCATAACAAACATGCAAATAAAAATTCAAGGCCAGCTAGCATTCACTGGTTTCTGTCTGGATCTCTGAGCAAATTACAGCAAATCTGCTGTCTCAGGTTCTCAGTCTGCACCGTACAGTGATTGGAAACTGGAGGAACCAGAGGCCCAATAGCTTATTAGTGCTGTAGGTGCTGAAATGACTCTTCCGATAGGCCATTAATCAACACAAAATGCCCAACATTTGCTGATGCAGCCTTTTTAAGTTTTAAGATAAATTACTTTTCTTTATTACGTCCCAATGTAAATTGAATATTTGTGGATTTTGGCCCTCACATTTGACATATTTGAAGGCTGTGGGAAACTGTGATGAACAGCATTTTTTCTAAATTTATGTTTTACTTAAGAGCAACGATGTGACATTTTTGATAATTCACTTTCTTGCTTTTTTTTGCCAAGAGTTAGATTAGAAATGTGAAAACACTGTCATGAATATACAATGAAGGTGTGGAAGAGCTAGCAGCCATTTGGCGTATGTTAGCTCAAAGGTTGGGTAAAAGAAGGAACCTGGCTCTATTCAGAGGTACGATAATCAATCTTGAAGGATCTTCGGGCTCTCCATGTAACAGTTTTTAATCAGGCTTGATTAGCTGGTCAAAAATCTTTGCTTAAAAATAATTTATTTTGATTTAATGGGGCGTTATATGTCAGATAATTTCTTGACTGCAACTAGTTGCAGCATTGCAGCCATTAGTGGTCAAACAACCTTCGCTTTTGACACCTTGTAACCAACTGCTTCAAGTTTTAATACAAAGTTTTACTAACAGGCTGCTTATTATAGCCTAAGGAATTATATAATATACACATGAGAGTGATATGGATCTTGATCTTTGCATCTAAATGTCAAATAGAAAGCTAATAAGCACATTCACTTAAGGTCAAATTGGATTTTATAATAGTATTGTAAGACAAAAGTTCTCAGATCCATTTGTAATTAAAGTAACTTTTGGTCACATGCATGCACTCACATTGAAGCAAGCTCCCAACAAACTCACCCACACTCTATTCTCATCCCAGCCACACACACACACACACACACACACACACACACACACACACACACACACCTGCTAACCCATCTCGCAGTGTTCTGAGGCAGCATGAAAAAGGTCATTCTCTCTGTAGTCATACCTTTATATCAGAGGAATCCAGGTCAGACGTGTGATTCTCCCCCCTGGTCACCTGTGACACGCTCTCTGAAACAAAGACACACACACACACACACACACACACACATAGCTGAGAGACGACATAGAGAGAATGTGAGTGAGAGAAATCAAGACGGAAAGAAACAATAAAAAAAAGGAAGAAAAAAAAAAAGACGCACTGCTGTTCATGAAAGAGGTGAGTGTGACCTGACTTTGACTGCTCAGTAGTTCTCGCTCTGCACGTTGACAGCGAGGTCAGCGTGATCTAAGTTAATTGTGCTTCAGGTGCAATAATATCTGTTATTGAAAATGGCAGCTCCTATTTCCCCGCTGATCTGATTTGCTGTTTCCACACTGCTGTTCCTGGTGTCTGATGATGAAATTAGTGAGGCCTCTACCTTACACTGGGCTGTGTGATCGACATGACCTGCAGCTATGTGTATTTATCCACTTCGGTAATGACTCGAGGACCACCTGGTTGCAGTGTGGAGCAGGGCAGAAATTGATTTACCTGCGCTTAAATCCACTAGTTGTTTAATGCAGTCCTGTGGGGCTCCTTAGGACTGGTTCTGCTCTCGCCCTGATTCGTGCAACATAACGGAGTCCTGGGAGTGTCTGTCGTTTGCTGAACCTTGCACAGATTTCAAATGTGGCAATTATCTATATGTGCTAGCGCTGTGATATATACGGACACTAACACTGTTCATCATTGTTTACCCTTGTATTACTTTGTCTTGACAGGAGAGAAATCCCTCTGGCACAGACTCAAAGTCGCCCTTAAAGCGAATAAAAGTGTTTTGAGAGTGGAGGCACTTCTTCTCAGTTCTAGTTCAGTGGAGCTGAAATGCAGCGACAGACTTGTTGTCTGTTTTTGTTTTACTTTATCCAGACATGATTTGTATTGACTTTGACATATCATTAATCTTAAATTATATTCTGGCTCCTCAATGTGCCTTGAGCAATTTAGCAAGATTTACAATGTAGATCAATATTAATATTGTTCACGGAGTAAAAATGTCCCACAGGACAAAGAAAATCATTATTCATTAGATTTTTTTAACTTTTCAGCGTTCAAATGTCGCTCCATTGGACAAATATTCAACTTAAGCTCTATTTTTGTGAAGTGTTTGCTGACTTGTTTTTGCTGTGTTGTTTGGATATGCTCCTGGAGCAGTTTATTTTTCCTCTTTAATCAGAGATCATCGATATTTCCCTCCTTCACCTTCACACTTTAACTCTTTGCTCAGAGTTTGCTATTTTTGATCACATAGAATAAACATCCCAACCTGAGCCTCAGGCAAAAATACTTTTCTGACAAACACAGAAGGCTGCCTGTATATTTTAATTATATTGCTGGAACATGTTTATGCAGTATTGCTGAACCTCAGGTTTAAAAAGACAGTTATATTTCACCTGTAAAATTAGATTTATGTTCTAATACTATGATCTATTATAAATGAGCTACACTCTAAATGTGTGTATTCAAACAGATATCTAAAAGTCAGATGCCACTGTTGTGTTTTAACACTAGCGACACTGCTCAATGGATTACAATATCAATCTTTTGTCTGGTCAGTTGGGTCACCACTTATGTCAAGACTGAAATATCTCAACAACCACGTCTTTGATTGGACAAACTTTTCTAAGACTGGGAGATGGTGTACAGTATTTGTCAAAAATAAACATGTTAGCATTGTGTGAGCATTGTGTGAGCATGCTCAAAGTAGGTCTTACCCCCTTACTTGATAGAGAAAGCAACTATTGTACTTTGATAACGCTTTGAAGCATAGCATGTTACATGAGTCTACCTTGAGCTTGGACTTTGGCCAGCTCTTCGCTCAGGGAGTCGTAGCTGTCCTCCAGCTGTCTCTTCTTCTTCTCCACACTCTGCATGTACTCCGTTAGAGAGCGGATCTTTGCCTCATGCTGAAAGTCAGAACACAGCGTCTCAGATGCAGAAAGTAAAGTGATGAACAGAGGACCTCTGTCCAAGACACAATTAGTACAACAAAGTAAACACAGCGCTTTTAAAAGTGAAATGATCTCTACTGATCCTTGTTCATCAGGGAACTAAAAGCAAACATCATATCAATACTCACAACATGAACAACATCAACACATAGACTACAGATCATCCATTCCTTATTCTTCTGATGCAAAAAAAAGTATTGCCATTAAAAGTTAAGTGACATTTCGAGCACAGTACTCTTCATCAGAGTAATCAACATTGCACAAAGGTCTATATAATAGAGCTTGACTGATTGATCGGCCGATATTAGCTTATCCAGTGACTATCGTTACCGGCTAATTTTATTACAGATATGTGCCGATATTACGATATTTACTTAATTCAAATAGCATTTCATTTGTTTTTCATTGTATTAAACTAGCAGTTCTCTTTCACCAGCAGAGTCTGCTATATTAATTACGACAAGCATTATAACCATCCATTGTCAAGCAGGGATGCACGTTCATTCACAGTTTCCAGTTGAGTGACCATCTTGTCTTTGTTATACTGTATAACTTTTACACAAGTGTTTGGTAACTACATTTGAGGGATCAACACAATAAATGTGTCTGTCTATATCTATCTCTACAGATCACAGGTAGATCTAAGAAAGATATCGGCTGATATATCGGTATTGTATTTTTTTCCCCCTCCCCAATATCAACAGTCATTATCAACCCCAAAAATCCATATCGGTCCGGCCAAACTAAAAAAGCATTTGTGATACTGATTAGGCGCAATAAGAGGATTGTACTCCAAACGTCACTCACTTGTTTATGATGATAATCCTTCTTTTGGTCTATTGTCCGGATTTTACCACTTGATTAACAGATTCACAAACATTTTTCTATGCCACTTGCTTCTTTCTTGGTTCCTGACCATCAATCCCTCACCTGTGACACGAGGAGATGGCATGAGGACAACTCTCTGCCCGTCTCCTCCATCTTGCGGTGACACTCCATCTGCAGGTTTTCCAGGTGACGGCAGCGCTTCACCATGGACTTCACCTCTGACTTGATTTTGCTGATGTAGAGGCGAGCCACGGTGAACTCCTCCTCGATAGCCCCGGTGATCTCCATGGGCTGGAGAGAAATGAGGCAGCGAGAAGGAGAGACACTTAAGAGACTGGTGGAGACATTTGGTTAGGATTGAGTGGAGATCATTTAAAGTCAGCGGGGAAGTTAAAGAGGGATGAAGCGTCTCTGAAACTCTTCCTGCCATTTTATGAACACATCCATTAGGTTAACAGCATCATTTAGCAGATGTCGTCCTCAGAAGTGAACTGTGGAGGACAGACTATACATCCACATTTTAAAAACAATCTAAATACTTCAGCCAAGATGTATGGTTGAATGTTCCTATAAACTATCTTCAGATGTAGAATAGAGACTTTCTCAGTCAAGGTTAGTTCTTATACTGACTGTTTTGCATAATGTTTGGCTCCTCACTCTGTAAACACAGCCACAGATACACAGACATGTTTTCTAATTGCTCATCAAGATGAGTCATTTTCCACAGATGCCAAATATGTCAGACTGAATTTGAGAGACACTTGTATGAAATGATGCTAAATAGAGACTGTGGAACACTTAACCATCGTCACAGCAACGCAACCTGAAATGTTGCAATAAAATACATTAACATGGATTTTAAACAATGTTAACTGTGTAAAAGTGTATCTATAAAACTATTATAATTTGGGCTGCCAGAAAACCTTTGTACATTTTCCATAGTTATGGGTCTTAACTTCTCTGATTGCCTTTTAGGAGGTTTTTGCACACTTGCTTGGCATAAGCGATAAACGTACAGAGCCTGGAACCAGTTTGTATTCCCATCTAATTTTCCGCATTTCTCTTAGCAACTACAAAATACCCCCTGAATTAATAAAACACAGTTAGGAATCACTGTGTTGGAACATTTTTCATTAGGGGAAATTAAGGTTTCATACAACATGATCTTGTTTGGTTTCCAGCCTTTAACTCCACCGTTTTTTTTTCAACCCACTGCACATGATCGATGAATTCTGTATGTTAATAAAAAAATGAGAATAAAAGAATCTCCGTGGATATAAGAACCTTTCTGACAGGATATTTTGAGCCTCAGTAATATTAAACTATGTACTCATACTATTACAGAAAAGTATAACATTTCATTTTATTTCATTTCGTTTACTTTTTCTTTAAATTTTTATTTTATTTACCATTTCATCTTATTTTATTTACCATTTTGTTTTGTACCTTTTGCACAATTTAGAATGTATTACTGTAAATAGTTTCATGTTTTTCCACCATTTTTTTCTGTAGGGGAATATTACAATTTACACATTTAGCAAAAAAATGTTGTGAAACGTGTCATCTTTTGTCACGGCAAGCAAGTGTTTAATATCAGTGTGTCCTGTATTGTTACTTTTAAAACTCATCTTATCAGGGAAATCAGTGTCAACAAGCCTGCATTTTGTGTCCAACTCACCAGCTTGATGTCTCTGTTTCCAACAATGGTGCTGAACTCGCTTAGGTCCCTCATCAGCCCGTTGAGAATCTCAGCGATGCGTTTCCTTTGGTGGCTGCTCGCTGCCTGGATGCGGGACAGCTCCACCTCCAAAGCCATGAGGTGAGCCTGTGGGAGTGAAACAAGGGAGTCAACACAATGCAAAACAGGAAGAAAGTATGGTTTGGTTAAAGGAGAAAAGGATGAGGAAAAGAGAAAAGCCCAGAGGGTTAAGAATAATAAAAGGAGTAAAGAAAAATGGCAGATTGAAAAAAGTTTAAATTCCTTGAACCTGAGATCACAAACAGCATTGAGACATATTTTAACCTCTGACCTAATTCCCATCCACAAAACACAAGCAGTAAACCGTAATGGCCGCTAAATTACAAATCAATAAACTAGAAAGATAGGGGCTGATGCCATCGGTGCTGCATGAAAGGATCTGGAGGAATGAAAGATGGAGCTTACTCTTCCCTTCTCCATTTTTTGTACAGCAAGCAGCTTTTTAACAATGCCGCAGACCCACTGGCTTTAACACAAAGAAACAATTTGGATTCATTCAATCAGTCTGACGAAACACAGTGAAAGATGAGGGTGTGTGCAGTTTGTCTACCTTGGAAGCAAATTCTTTGATCTTGCAAAACTGTGTCCTTGTCTTTCAACATAGTGAACCTGAGCAACATATTTATGACACCTTTGAAACTTTTGTGATCAGCGGTATACAGGGAGTTTAGAGGTCAGGAGCCCAAATTACCCATGGCCAACCCCATCTCCCCTAGAAAAAGAAAAACCTCAACATGTCAGATTTCAGGAGCCCTAAGTGGACATGAATCCGTACATTTAATTTACTTTGTATCATGATAAGTTACTTCCAGATGTATTCTCAGGATATCAACTTCTTTATTTTGTTTACTCTCAAAATAAAAACTCTAGGAGGATTAAAACTAAATCCTCTTTCATTTTGTGCAAAACCAAAAAACAACAAAATCAGCCTTCAAAACCCACCGATTTTAATCTATCTGCAATTATAGACTGAATGACTGTAAGTCTTCCAAATGCCAAAATCTGTAGAACCTTGATTAAGACGAGGCCTTGGTCTGCTCTGTGGTCCCTGCAGCCCAGTTCTTTCTTTCATTGTGACTTTGAGCAACACATTTTTAAAATGGAATTATAATCTTCTTTGTCATGTGTTCCTATAGAGCTATTGCAACAACCAAGGTATTTCATCCTGTTCAAAGTGTATCATACTTTGGCATAAATTAGATTCTTGAGAACTTTTTTTTAATGGTGCATTTTAGGTAACTGCTTCCATACATCACAAGTCAGTTGAATGCACAATTAACCCTCTCCTTGGTAAATCTCCAGTGAAATGTACGCCTTCATGAACCACTCCATCTTCATCTCCTTCATTGACTCCGAGCCGTGTGATCATTTTCCAGGTCACTTCACGTGTCAAAACATTAGCTTAGCATATATGGCTGTAAATAATTACTCGAAATCGATTCATTTACAAATAAGAAAAAGCGGAGGGGGCGGTAATGAAAATGGTTCGGTTAGTTAAGGAGAGATTTATGGAGAGGTATCATAAAGATGGCGAAATGATGAATGGAGTTAATTAAAATAATAGAAAATGGCTTAGGTGGACAGATGGATTGAAAGGAGGTCCTAAAAGGAACAGATGAGTGACAGTTACAGTAAGCGATGGCATGGCCTCCTGCAGAAGAAGACTGGAGTTTTCATTGAAAGCTGGCATGAAGACAGCTGAGGTGGAGACAGTGATGAATGAACTCTGTTGCAACATTTTTCTAGGCCAGTGCCACCCTATTTATACTGTAGATATGGAAAAATGGGAAAAGCAGCAACACTGCACATTAGCATAACAGCTGGCAAGCAGAGAGTAGAGAAATGATAATGACAATTCTGAGGGAATGCGGATGGAAAGGCCCTGAGAGGATGGAATTATGCGATTTAAAAAAAAAAAAAATCACTACATCTGGTTATCCAGTATCACATCATGTCAGACTGCTGGACAGCGTTTGTGAGTGGAGTCATGTGAGAGGTCAGGGCAGAAAGGGACAGAAGAGGTCACAGAGAAGGCAAGGGAGATGATTGAAGAGTGAAGCAGGTTGGAGCTGGATTAAGCGGCTAAACTGTGCAGTGAGTAGTTATATTGTCAAATCCTTTCATCAATTCCTGGACCAGCTTCTGAGAAAGACAGATAGGGAGGGGAGGACACTCTGGCAGAGTGTAAAACGCTGCATGAAATATTGAAGAGGTTTTAAGAAGGTGAATAATGGACCACTTGGTCCACTGACGATCGCATTATTAAGACTGACCAGCTCTGCCAATGGTCTTTTACTTTTTCTCTAAAAGTATGCACAAAGATCCAGCTGCATACAAACCTGAGAATTACAGCTTTTCTTTGCAACCAAGTCAAGGAAACAAAGGAAACTCTAAAAGCTCTAAAAACATCTTTTTAACTCTTCTTTTAGATAGCCATTACAATTCAGTGACATTTAAATTGAAGGTGTGACATTAGAGGGGTGTAACTTTAATACCTTGAATTGGCAATGTGAAATGGACAATAGCTTTTTTCTTAAGGCTTCCACGCACATAAATGTAGGTGATATGCATAATCAGGAACGTGATGGTGTGGTTGGATTGACAGGGACCAAACAATCCCAACAGCTGGTGTCTTTGATTATTTGTTGCTTAGATTAGTTGGTGCACGTAAAGTGACTGACACAGAGAAAAATAAAGAATTGATAAAAACAGAAATCTCTTGTGTGAAAATCTAAAAACTTTAGAAATTAAATTTTGTTCAGTTTTGCTCTCTGAAAGTTTTCAAGGCTTTTAAGTCTCGCAGCCCATCCTGATTAAAAATTCATTTTTATTTTCCAAACTTTTCAAAGCCTCTAAAAACTGACATGAATGTGTTTGACTAAAATAACTTAACTCCCCAGGCTTTCTGTTTAAACTATGGCAGATTAAACTAACTCCAATTAAATCTTCTGGCCTCACTCGATGCTGCTTTTAAACACAGCCTCAAACAAGCTGATCAGTGAGAAGATGACAACTTCTGTAGGGAATTTATGAGGCTCCTCTGACAACTGACCTTAATAATGAAAAGTTTATGTATTTGTCTGGGGGGCTGTCTTTATGATTTCCAGTGACAAATTTTGGACAAAATTAGAAATAAACCAGAAAACATCTCCTCAAATGAGTCATCTTACAGGTCTCCCCCCCCTAATTCCCATGTTTATGCAAAAACATTTCAGTTAAGCTGCTGACTTCTCTCGAGTAACTTGAATGCTTCTTTCTCCACCTCTTCCCACCCTATATATTAATACTCTTCTTACAGTTCACGTTTGTCTCTCAGTTATCAGTTCATGATTGCTTGCTGCACAATTTATCAGAATTTTCTCTGTTATCTTTTCTCCCATGCAGCTCACTAATTTTCCTCATTATCTCTCTAATTGCATTTTAACAAGCAGTTGTACACGTTGTGGAAAGACAGGGACGAAAATCTGAGGAAACTTTTGTACCTAAAGTCTTCTTTTCTCGATAATCTTAAAAAAAATTTAAACTTTACAACTATATATACTGCGGGGATACAGTATATGTCCATGCCTTTATGGCTTTTATTGCCAGAAATAAAATGCACAGTAACTATACTTCTCTCTTGATTCTTGTTTGTCTTATCTCTTTCTCCCTGCTCGGCTGTTTTTCGTGGCAATATAAATGTGCCTTTGTGGCATGAAATGAGCCTTTAGGAATTCAAACCCACCATTTTCTTTGCAAGCTCTTCAGCCAGCAGCTTGTTCTGCACGCTCTTCTCCTCCACCTCCAGGCTCTTTTGGTCGTAGTTGACTGCCAGCTCCTCCAGGGCCTGGAGGACCTCTTTGACCTCGGCCTTGGCAGAATCATTCTCTGTCTGCAGCCTGCCGAGCTCTGACTGAACCTTCTCACTGTCCCCTCTGGATGATGCTAAAAGCTGAGGGACAACAGAAATTGAACAACTGAAAATAAACCGTTTTGAAATGAATATTTCATGTAAAAAGGGAACAGAGAGAATCACTGTATCGGAGCATTGTATACAACGAGCATCCACTTCATTATTCACAAGGCTGAGCGGCTATAGCTTAATAAATCATAATGTATTTTTCCCTAGGTAACAGAAGATAAGCATGTGAACAAGCTCTGTTATACAATACAGGTGTAATTTAGCAGATTAAACATATATCAACAACTATTACTTGTCACTGTAAGAGGTGACATTGGCTGCCATGATTTTTCCTTGTATTGCCCTGCTTTACCAGCTGAGGGGCATTTTACTAAATGGATGTCATTAGATGTCGATTTTGCTCTACCCAGGGTGTGTTTGCACTGCAGCATACAGTCTGCTTTGCCAAATGGATGTAAAATCATGTTACTGTACACAAGCTACAGCTGGGTAGTTACCATCGTGTCGGCCTGACCCACAGCAGGACTACTCTAGGATATAAATGAACTCATTCGGCAAATTTGGACTCTCTCACATGGCAATGCACTACATGCCACAGCTCGCTTCAGCCTGTTTAGCCCACTGGTTTAGCCACTGTTATGATTACATGCTGTAAATTCTCCACTTTACTGCCTTTTAATGGAGTCTTTTAAGTGCTGTTTTTTTCCCACAGGTGGCACGTACTGGCACCCAACCCTGCTAAGTAATGATTTGTGATGTGAGAAAAATACAGTAGACCCGCGTAAATGGCCTCTATATTAATGAGATGCTGATGATATCATCGTCTTAAGCTATTTAAAGTCACAAAAATAAAGCATCTGAAAGCATGGGCTTGTTTGTCTGTCAGCTCAAATGGTACATTCTTCAGTCCTCCATAAATCTTCACAACCATTTATTACTGAGCATTTTGAAGCCTATTCTTTTTTTAAAACTGCTGTTAACACTCAAATAAGCCCGCACAATACGACTTTATATTCTTCAAGAGCTTTTTTTCCCTCATTTATCTCAAGGACAGGATAATAAAACCTCTCCTGGCTGAGTTCTATTCAAAGCGTGGTTGTGATGGCCACGTTTTGCAGGACTGTGAGCCGTTTAACCGCAAACTGATGAAAGGGTTTAAAGGGGGGGGGGGGGATTTTTTTACCTCCTCCTGGTCGAGCATCTGCTCCCTTCAGTTTCTCCACCATCTGGCTCTGGTGGTTGATCTCATCATCCTTCAGTGACAAGACAAACCCAAGGAATATTAAACAGTTCATTTACATGCTTAAATCAAATGTGTTTTCAGTTTAATGCTATTCTAGAAAGACAGGTAAATTATCAACGAAAAGTTTGTATCGCCCTAAAACATGTGTATCCCCCTCTCTCTTAATGATAAACTTCACTACTTTAATCCAGTAACACCAAATATAATGCCACCAGTGTGTTGTGTAAATAAATTCACTAAACTTTTAAACATGTTAACATCATTCATAAGTTCTGCTATCTTAGGTGTGCCGCTTCAGAGGAGAACATTTTAAATATATATTCATACCACATGAATTGCTCTGTAATTGTGCTCTGCTGCATACCATGAATATACCTCCAAATGTGTAGAAAATAAAAGGCTATATTTCTCAGAGTCCTTGTGAAAAAATGCAAATTGCATCGGTGCATTAAAACACAACTGGTTGTGCATATTGAATGAAACCCGTTCATAAAAGCGATACAATTATACGTAAGAGCCCCGTGGAGCCCAGCTAGTGTGCATAGTTGATGTACTTAGAATAATAAATTAAACCTTAATGCTTCTCAATGTAAAACATTGCCATCTCTCCGATGACATCTTTTCCAAATAGTCCCTACATTAGTCACTGTGTGTCTGATCGTGAATTCATTAACGTGCATAATTTATGTATGATATACCCTTTATGTTCATGTGTGCATACCCATGCAGAAATCTCCGTCTCTGTGTGTAAACAGATTTACATTCAAACAATCAAATGGTTCACGTGCGTCACCCGTTTGCTACCTTTTCATCAAGCTGTTTGTAAAGCTTGCGTATCTCCTCCTCATACTTCTGCCGCTCCTCCGCAGAGATGTGCACCACAATGGAGGAGGCGTCAGAGCATGGGCTGCAGATGTCGAGAACGGGCTCCTCAGACTCAGGAAGAACCCGGGGGACGTCCTCAGTTTGTGGGCTCAGAGGCTCCAACACAACAACATCCTCACCTAAAGGCGAGGGAGAAAATATTCAGTGTTTGTAAATGCGGTTCTCTTATCTCAGCCAAATCCTCCTCCATGGATTTATGCATAAAAAAGGGATTAGTGGAATCATCTTCAGTGTCTGTCCTTTCCTTACCCCTGAATAGATTGAAATCTGATGTTCGAGAATTGTCTGCTATAAAAACCAGCTTCCCTTTCATTTGGCTCAACGGGCGCTAAAAATACAAGACCTATGTAACATTAAAATGTCAAATGTCCCGTGTCTGACTCTTGCAAAAACTGTTCTGGTAGTTCACAAAGAAAGAAATGAATCTGGAAGAAGTGAGAAATGTTAACAGGGCACAAATGCACACGCTTAATGACATGAAGAACACAGAAAAAGGTCTGCTCTGACAGCTACTGACAGCTACTCTGGAGTGTAATGTGTTATAATTGTAATGCTCTCTCTCACACAGCATCGAGGGTTGTATGCTGATGTGACACAAGGGATGATTTCACCGTTGTGTAGGCCCCATACTTGATTTATTTAACACATAAGCAATTCACAGTCCTAAGACTAAATCTAAATCTTTCTGCTAAAAGGATTACCGTACAGAGTTCAGCGGCAATTTTGTTACAGTGAGCGATGTGCTGCATATTTGTATCGAAGCAGTAATAGAGAGGTTAACGGGATGCCACAAAGACAACAGAAACAGTGGTTCACATCATGACTACTATTGTGGTTATCATTATTATAGTCAAATAAAGCACATTTCTCAATGTAAGGGACAGGTCAGGGTTTGGTTTATAGTTAATAAACTTTTGTGTTGTCTCAAATCACTGTTGACTCAACAGATCTTCACCTTGCCTTACCTAACTATCTGCTGTGTGTACGAATAGAGTAGTTAACTCCACTGAGTTTGAGGATCTTGCGCTTTGTGTAGATTTTGGCGCCCCCTTTGGCCGCCTACAAGTCTAATCTATTTGCTATGTTTATCCTGTACACATATAAGTTGTGTTTTAATAATGAAAAACTTCATCCTGCTTCATTTTACAGACAAAATAAATAACTTACTGCTGATCTTTGCATTGTTTTGTGGTTTTGGCAACATGCTGTAACTCACTTCTACTGACACCTACTCTGCAGCAGTGTTGTACTAATTATTATTATTTAGAAATGATGTACTTTGTCCATTATGGTCTTGCTTGCTATTGTAGCTCATAAAGAGACATCGGTATTAATTTCATAACCAGCTAAAAACTCCTTAAAGAAGCTTTAGAAGATGTTTTACTGCTAATAATGTATATTCTCACTGTTTTAACAGAAAATGTAATCTAGTGATAATTGTGTCATCCTCAATTCATATATGTTAGTCAAATTTGACTCCAGTGTTTAAGAGCTCTGATTTGACATCCTGAGAGGAGGATGGATCAATTTGGAAATCGAGCACTTTGCCCCTTTAAGACAAGGTCAGTGTCATCCATAGTTTAGACAATACACCTGGCTGACACCTTTTAGTGATTTGTTGCTTCTTGTCTGGTTGAAAGTGTGCTAATCAATAAAACAAGGCTGCCTGGTTAAATGCAACAAAACATAAAAACACACGATTGAACAGTGTAGGAGATTCCTGACCCTCCTCCCCCCCCCCCCCTTTTCTGAACTGAGAAATTTACTATAGGAGACAGCTGTTCTTGTCTTTGGGCCATCCTTGAATAAAAAGTTGTGTAATGTGGTACAAGATGGAGGTCAGCAGCTATTGTCTCAAGGAGCTGTTGCCCTGAGGAAAGCAACAATATAGGGAGTAGTATGGGAGGAATGGGGGGAAATGATGTTGTCAAGATGATCCATTAGGAAATTAAAAGTTTAACTCGTGAGCGAAACACAGCAGTATGCTAGAGGGAGATATAGTGTGTATGTGTTTGAAGGAGAATGAGAGTAACCGAGAGGGATGAAGCAATAAAATGACTAATTTTCACTGATAGGTTGTCAATAAAGATATGTTGGAGCGTTTTTAAAATTCAGGTCAAGCACAGAGGAAATTATCTCCAGAAAAAACAGCTGGCATGATTCATTACACCTCTTAAATGTCAGCCCATCAGTACCATTGAGAGCTCTGACATTTGAACTGACCTACAGTCTAGCAGGAGATGATGAGAAGAAAGAATTGTGTCCTGTATGTGTATGCGTGTGTGCAGTGCTGTATGCCCTTGTGTTTTTGGGGTTTAGGTACGTGTGTGTACTGACATGGGAGAGGATCAGGTTAAGTTATGACTTCTCTGTAGCCGTGATTAGTCCGTAACAGTGTGAGGATTAATAATACATAAGGATTTATAAAATATAAAGCTCTCTAGGCAATGCTTGCCCTCAGGACAATGTGTGGGGAATCCAATTATACAAAGTGTAAAAGTCTGAATATAGGTATTTTTAAGTGTTGTGGCACAAAGCCAGCAGGACTGTTTGTCTCTCTGCTCATATCTTCAATGACTTGTATTCCGATGATCTCAAATAAAATTAAATCTGTGTCTATGTGGTCTGAAAAATAATCTATAAGGTAGCAGCCTGGTAAAATTTCCATTTCTATATGTATGTACTTTTCCATGCATGAACAGGGAGTATAACAAGAGGTGGAGAATTCAGATTTTTTCCATAGGGGATCATATAGAGGCTGTGCTCTCTGGAACAGATTCCCATTTAAAAATGTTTCCTAAGCTGTAGCTATAGGTTTGTGCAATAGCACCATGGTGTTCTTATCTTTTTCACTTATTAGTATTGTGTTTTTTGCAGGTCATGTGCAAGATATCTGTTGTTTGTAGGCGTTATAGGTATGTGCTTCTCTGGTTTAGAATAATTCTTTTAATTTGACTGAAAGTTACATCATTTTGGAGTCATATTTACAACAGTAAATTTAAATAGGTTGAGAGTCTACAGCCATGCTTACATCTCTGTGAGACTTTTTCGATGCCCAGAAGTGATGTGAGATAAATGCTAACTCAGTATGATAAAATGTTAACAGAGACAATGAGGACATGGTTGATACTATGTTTACGCTTTGCAATACCTCAGTTGAGCATGTTTCCATGCTTATTGTTGCTGAATAGGAATAGTGGTAAGCAGAAACTAACTGAGGAGGAAAGAATAAACTGCAATATTATTGGTTTTGAAAATATTTGGTCTTTCAATCAAAATATTGAACAAATTCTAAATTTCACCGGCTGCAAAAATCCCAAGGATATGAATGTTTATTTATTTTTTGAAGATTTTTTGGGGGGCTTTTTTGCCTTTATTGGATAAGACAGCTAAAGAGAGACAGGAAATGTTGGGAGGAGAGAGTGGGGGACGACATGACAGACACCGAAATGAGGACTTAAGCCCAGGTACATGAGGCATGTGACATAGATGCTATGCTATTGGCGCCCTGAGGATAAGAATGTTTGAACCAAAAAGAACGGCAACCCATTCAGCAACTTGGATTATAATTCAGTCAGAGGAATACTAAAATAATTAGGAATAATCCTCTGAGATCATAAAAGACTGAGATCAAAAATCTTCCCTAGCAGCGGAGATACTGCAGCCTTCACTCAACATAAACTGTTATTCTGACATTAAAAGTGCAAATTCTGTCAAAGTGCCATAACAACATTTTTCAGCGCCCTCTTCTTTTAGAAGACATGTTTATATATTCTGTGTTGTTGTGAGGTGTCAGCATGTTAACAGTGTGGTAATTACCGCTCCTCCAGTTGTTCAGCTCCGCCTCCAGTCTTTGAATTGCGTCCTTCATTGACCTGTTCTTCTCCTTCTCCTTCTCGTACTTCTTCTTCCACTGCTCGGCTGTGAGCTCCAGGTTCACTGATACAGTATTTCTAATGGTCTTGGCTCTAATTAGGGAGAAGCAGGGAGAAACATAAGAACAGATGAGAGGAAAAGCGAAGGAGAACATATAGAAAAGAAAAGAGGGGGGAAAAGGGAAAAGAACAGCAGAGACTAAAGAGGAACTGTCAACAAGGGTATTTGAGCCTTGGCTGCTCATTGAAAGTGGTCTTGCATCTCATTAATTTGTATGCAAATTGTGCTTCTGCCAAATGTGCTCTATGGCGCATGAAGCAAGAGGGTAAGAATTCACATTGGCAGAGGGTCCAAACCTCTGAAAACATACTCACATCAAATATAGCAACCATGCAAATCATAGGAAGAGAGAATGCATGAAGAGAGAATGTATGTACTATAAATAATAGCTCAATTATGACGCAAACAAGGGGCGTCGCAGAGATGAAACATTCATGATGCTCCAGCTGCAGCACTAAGCTCCACTCGTGTTAAATTCTACATCGGTGGCCATCGTTTAATTTCACACTCCAGTGGGAAAACACTGTCCACCTTATTAACTTATCCCCGAGACAAACAGTTCTGTCTTAATATGTTCATCAAATCTGAATTTAGATAACACTTTATTTGGATAGTACAGATGATGAAACATCAGATGGCAATAAAGTTAATGTTGAACGTTGAATGTTGAGTGGAAATGGCTTTTTATGCACTAAATTTTTAACAGTGTGTACTCAACCTATTCAACCATTAAAGCCCTATTTCTTAAAGTAACTAAATGTTTTAAATTAGAGGAAGCACCGACTAAAATTTCAGTGAGCTGACTTAAATTGTGTCACTCTCGCTTCAACTTGTACATTTCTTTTACCTGATATTTTCATTACGCTAATCTCCAAACAAAGTGCGATAGAAATGTGTTTACTACCGTGTCATAATGTTTTTGGCATATTGATTTTTAAACAGCGATTATCCTGGTGTTCAGCAGCCACTGTGGCTGACAGAGAGAGATAAGAAACCAAGTTTTATGTCTGCTGTGGATTCTATCACTCCCTTTGCTCCGTCTTACATTATTTATTTCCACCAACTCTCATG